ACAAACAAGATGAATTTTAACAGGGAGAAATGTAAAGTATTGCACTTGGGCAAAAAAAATGAGAGGCACAAATACAAGATGGGTGACACCTGGCTTGAGAGCAGTACATGTGAAAAGGATCTAGGAGTCTTGGTTGACCACAAACTTGACATGAGCCAACAGTGTGATGCGGCAGCTAAAAAGCCAATGCAATTCTGGGCTGCATCAATAGGAGTATAGCATCTAGATCAAGGGAAGAAATAGTGCCACTGTATTCTGCTCTGGTCAGACCTCACCTGGAGTACTGTGTCCAGTTCTGGGCACCACAGTTCAAGAAGGACACTGACAAACTGGAACGTGTCCAGAGGAGGGCAACCAAAATGGTCAAAGGCCTGGAAACAATGCCTTATGAGGAACGGCTAAGGGAGCTGGGCATGTTTAGCCTGGAGAAGAGGAGGTTAAGGGGTGATATGATAGCCATGTTCAAATATATAAAAGGATGTCACATAGAGGAGGGAGAAAGGTTGTTTTCTGCTGCTCCAGAGAAGCAGACACGGAGCAATGGATCCAAACTACAAGAAAGAAGATTCCACCTAAACATTAGGAAGAACTTCCTGACAGTAAGAGCTGTTTGACAGTGGAATTTGCTGCCAAGGAGTGTGGTGGAGTCTCCTTCTTTGGAGGTCTTTAAGCAGAGGCTTGACAACCATATGTAAGGAGTGCTCTGATGGTGTTTCCTGCTTGGCAGGGGGTTGGACTCGATGGCCCTTGTGGTCTCTTCCAACTCTATGATTCTATGATTCTATGATTCTATGGTACCTATTTATCTACTTGCACTTCTTGGCACGCTTTCGAACTGCTAGGTTGGCAGGAGCTGGGACTGAGCAACGGGAGCTCACCCAGTCATGGGGATTCGAACCACGGACCTTCTGATCGGCAAGCCCAAGAGGCTCATTGGTTTAGAACACAGCGCCACCCGCATTGCTTCTACCAAGTATATTTGTAACCAATAGGTGCCTGTGCATTTGTCACATGGTGAAGATTGGTGTGACATCTGTATAAGAATCTTACCTAATGTAACACAGACCCCATTCCCTAAAGAAATTTGGCTCCCTATTTCCTGAAGGAAAATGCTGTCAGAAAGAAATCTCACGAGGAACGATGGATAGAGTCAATCTAAGGATATTTCTCTGCAAGCCCATTGAAATGAAGAAAAGCTGTCCTTATAGAAATCTCATTCTTTTCAATGAGGCTTAGACAAATAGGCTTCCCTGTAGATTATTCTGTAGATTTTGTCACTGACTAGCACAGATCGGTTATCGCAAAGCAAAGGACCTTTTTTCCCCTCTATGCATGGGGGGCAGCCCCCCCCCCAAAGGCCTTGGAATGGAATGGTGCAAAACTTGACTTGAATTTCAAAGCAAGACTCAAGGAATGTTTCATCAATATGGCAGGTGGGTGGTTGTGTGGGTGGTAGGTGGGAACTAATAACCCCTTTCACAATCTTTCTCCTGTGTGCCAAGCAGGACTGGATGACAAAATACAACAACAACAACAAAGACTTATTGCTACTTACAGGCTACTGTTTCTTTGCAGAAAGTACCACCAAAATCTCACATAATATAGACAACAGAAGGTAACTTTGTGCCCTAGCAATGTAAAACAAGTTCTAAAATGTAGACATCCTCCAATCAGCATGTTTTTAAAGCAACTGGCATGTCATGCTTCAGGCACCCAATCACTGAACATTTACAGAAAGTGATTAAGGATGAGCTGTTGTCTGTTTCCCCCTGCTGAAAAATTAATACTAGATTTCCTTCATCTCACTCTACCAGGAACTGAGCTTTAAAAAACAACACAACCTCATAAGATATAGATAGAAAATTAGGAGCAAATAGGTTACCAAGGTGCCATAGCTGAGGGATAGAGCATCTGCTTTGCATGTAGGATGTCCAGTCCTGGCATCTCTGGGTAGGGATGGGAGAAGTTGCTGTCAGTCTATGTTGGCAGTGCTGAGCTAAATGGACCAATCTTCTGACTCAGTATAAGGCAGTATCTTAGATTCAAAAATAGAAGGTCTCATTGGCAGCTATAAACTGAAAAGTAGATCATGCAGGGAGATGACAGGACAGGGGGAGGGGGATGCATGCAAGTTATGGTGCTTTATATGAGTAAATCCAATACTCAACTTGGTTATCAGATAGTATTGCCAGTGCTGTTGATTAGCTACTTAAAGTGCTTCTTTAATAGCATCGTAGTAGAAGTCATTGAAGACAATTGTATGGTTTCAGCCACAAACATGGATCAAGCAAGAGTCACAGAGCAAGTTGAAAACATGCAGTTGCCCTGAAACAATTATCTGGGGACAACGCAAGGCTGCTTCTGGATTCATGGCTGGCCTAAACTTCTATGGAGGCAGCATTGGTGACAAATCACTGGTTCTGTGTCATCCTGATTACATTTATTCAAGCGCCACCAGGTCACAAAAACCAGGATGACTGCTGCATATATCCCATTATAATAATTCACACAAATGGCACCTCCATGTAAGTTCCAAACTAGCATGCTCTGATATGCTCTTTGGATAATCACATGGGATGAACCCCATTTATTTTGCTTTTGCACAACCATGCTAAATAGGAATGCCAAGATAACGCTGTCCATTTCCCAATTGCCTTACATATACATTAACTATTTTAGTGGAGAAAGCAGTGGCATTTACCCATTTTCATGGGCTGGCTGGGCACACAGGAATGGTGGGAGGAACCAGCTGGGGAACTACCAAGGGAAGAATTACATTCATTTTATTATTGAATTAGAATTCTGATTCTTAGTACTTTTCACATTGAACTTGCTTTCTTTTGAATGTCACAGAAAGCACGCACACTCGCACGAACACACACATCTGCTTTTTAAAGACAGAAATGGTTTTATATAGTGAATATGAAATTAGTTGTTAAATTGTCCCGCTTTAATGCAGTCTGAAAGACTTCATTAATCCAAGTAGCTGACACCAAGATCATTACAGTTAAACAATTACATTTAATGGGTGTTCAGAACAACATTGTATTCAGTGCTAGATTTCAGACAATAAAAAACACATGGGATGTTCTAGCCAATTACAGTTGAATAACGGAGGCACTGAGGCTTTCTAAAGCTGGAAACTATTTTGATTGGCAATGAAAAGGATTATTTAACAATGCAAAACAAGCTTTTAACAGACTACTGCAATCTCATACATACTTACCTTGGGATTTAGTCCTAGTAAATTGAGGGACAATTACTTCTGAATCAATATTTATAGAAATGGGCCTCAACAACACCATTTTCTTTAGAAAGCTATGCTGCCTCAACATGCTTGTGTGTTTGTGTGTTGTGTGTGATTATATGCACAAGAATGCCTGCTTCCCTTGTATATTGTTGTAGTTGGCTGTCCTGACCCTTCTCTCTACAGCGCCATGCCAACACAGATGAAAGAACGCCTACTTTCTGTACCACAATGGTCATTATTCTAAGGAAGCATTTCTTCACATATAATAAACCACAGCCAAACAATAGAGATGGGGAAACTGAACTAGGCTCAGCTCATAATAGCTCAATAAATGGTCAGAAGTCTTTCAAAATAATGGTCTGAAGGCACCTGAGGCCACCAACTGCTAAAATTAAGCAGATCTGTGTCTCATCAATGCCTGGATGGGAGACCACCCTGGACCACCTTCCATGATGGAAGAAAAGTGGGATATAAATGTAATAAAGTAAAAAGGGCACTAAATAATTGCTCAAGCAGAACAACCTCCACTTGTGCAACAGGACTCTCTCCCTCTCTTCCTCCTCATGCATATGTTCTGGTTTATTGGCCCTCATCCAGCCTGAATGGACCAACAAAGTCCATTGCTAGGCCTTGCATGGCCTCTCTGGACTCAGACATTACAGAGAAAATAAAGCTGGGTATCATCACCCTACTGATGACCCATATTTTCTAATGACCACTCCCAGTGGCTTAATGAACAGGGTCTAAACTCTGCCTCCAATGTCAGAGGACATATACCAGTTGTAGGGAGAGGGTTATTGTGCTCAAATCCTGTTTGTGCGCTTCCCATGGGCATCAGGTTGGTCACTGTAGGAACAGGATGCTGGACCTGATAGCCTTTGACCTAATCCAGCAAGGCTCTCTTATGCACTTATGTTCTTAGGCCACAAAAGCCTAAGGAATCAAGGGAGATGTAGTTCTCCCAGGGGCTCTATACCCATGATCCCTTAAGCTTTTGTGCTTTGATGCTCTGAGTAGCGTGGTGATGAAAAAGAGAGTGATGGGGGGGTGGAATTCTGTTTCTTCTCTTTCCACACTATTGCAGCTACTTCCACTGCCTCCCCTACTTGAAAGAGAAGCGGGGATGAGTTTTGAAACTGGGGAATTGGCTGGAGGAGGAGCCATGATTTTTTTATCGGGCTAGAAAACTTCAAAGCTTTACAAACTCGCCTCTCAACTGAGGCTAGCTTTTAAGAGTCTCAGAGTTTGTTTCCAAGCATGGATCAGGAGAATTGTGCCAGCATCAATACTAAATAATGTTGTGAGGACTACCAGCATAGATGCTTTACAAAGGATTCATTTCACCGTGGCCTCTGGCCACAATATCTGAATCTGTTAACTTCTTTGCTTCTGACTAATAACTGATGTGGATAAACAGCAGACGCTTTGTATGGAGATCAAGGAACATTTGTCAACATTTCTAAGAAATCTCATTCGTCACTACAGGTAGGCAGAACATGAAGTTATTTGTTATGTGGCAGAAGTGATGTTCTCAGATTTCACAAAAGCAGTAGGACTATTACTTGAATACCAATAAATCATCATTGGTTCCATGATAACATTCAACAGTAAACTAGATCTTACAATGTACTTTGGTGTGAAAATTATGGAGGGCACCAAGATGATATAAAGTCACCATGACAACAAACTACATTTTTTCTTTATAAAATTTCAACCCATCTCACGATAACCGCATCATCATTTTATAAACCACAACTTGCTTTCTGCTGGAATGACCAATGGGTTGGGTTAGGTGCACATCTGACAGTGATTCAAAAGGAATCAAACTCCTGTTCGAAGGAGAAAGGAAAGCATGGGAGTACTATAGCTCTGTGCTGTAGCAACTTCTTTCCTCACATCTACAGCTTTGTACCATGGCGTCTTCTTTTCTCACATCTCTGTACACCAGGAATGGGAAGCCTAAGCTCCCAGTGAAAGGCAAATGCAGGCCTCCAAGCTTCTCACTCTGACTCTCAGGACTCTCTGCAGGCCACACCCCCTTTCACAGGCCACACCCCTCATTGGCTGTGCTTCACACCCTCCTTTCATGTTTTAGCCTGGATGGAATGAGTCCTTGAACTCTGATAATACCCCTTTACTTGTCTCAATAGAGGTTATAGAAGGTTTGAGTGTGTGTGTAGGAACTAACTTACTGTATAAATGAGAATTATAGGGATTAGCAGGAAGAGTAAGTGGCTTCTCCCCATTGCCCCATCAGTGAGATTTAACTCTGGCTGGAAAGGCTCTATTTCCAATGGGCACTTTGTTCGGATTTCATGCCTATTTCATCCTTCCCTTCTGTGTTCGGCCCATAGGCTGCCAACAAGGATGTCAATTAGTTCCAATTGCTCCAGCAGCAGCAGCCTGGAAATAAAGTAAAGGAGCCTTGAAAGGGATCTGTTATCCCATATTCAGCCCCTTTGCACTTAATGTTGATTTCGGCTGTCATGAACAAAGTGGGTGGTAGTTTATTCTTACTGGCAGCAGGCATAAACTATCAAGTGCTTGGGCTCAAGGAAGGAAAAATCGATGTTAAAAGGAAAGCAGCCATGAGCAGGATGACAGATCATTTAAAAGGCATTTCATCATCACCTCCCAGTTTCCAATTGGAAGAGTGACTTGTCTTCATGAAGACAGAACCCTGCTTCAGGTTTGCTCCAGGCATATTAGGGACTACTGAGGGTGGCTGCTGGTTCAAAACTGGAATATAAAAGCAGATATGTAGTGGTCCTGGGTTGCAGAGGGTCAAAGACCCATTAATATTTTCTGAAGCGGGATACCATCACCACCAGAGCCAGTGTGGTGTAGTGGTTAAGAGCAGTAGACTCGTAATCTGGTGAACCGGGTTCGCGTCTCCGCTCCTCCACATGCAGCTGCTGGGTGACTTTGGGCTAGTCACACTTCTCTGAAGTCTCTCAGCCCCACTCACCTCACAGAGTGTTTGTTGTGGGGGAGGAAGGGAAAGGAGAATGTTAGCCTCCTCCACATTTAAAGCAACTGACAAGTCTTCTCTCCCTTGAGAATGATTCCCAGTAGAGCAATGGGACTCTCCCTCTGCGTGGGGGAATCCAGCCAGATGGGTGGGGTATAAATAATAAAATTATTATTATTATTATTATTATTATTATTATGCATGCCCCACATGGCTTCTCTAAATCTGCTTTGGAAGCCTGGGAGAACCTCCAGAATAGCACGCAGACAAAAAAGTGAGAGTATATTCCATCTGGAATAATCCACTGTACTGAAGGAACAATCTCCTCCGTGCTCCTTTGAATACAACCCCTGATCTTCACACTGTGAAGTGTGACACACCGTCACAGCCCCTAGTTATAGTTAGACTTCCTCTCAGTGATAAATCGATGTGTCTCCCCATTAGACTCCTGAATTAACTGCTCCTATTTCATATTTTCCTGTTTGCAATTCATATGTTAAAGTAAAAAAAATTGAATTGGGGAATTTGAATTTTTGGTGTATGTCAAGCCACCATGAGGGTAAAATTGTAAAGCAGACAAATGGTAAAAACCTCTTTTTGTTTCTTTACAAGGTTTTCTTTTAGTACAGAATTACCAAGGTGCTTTGCAGCACATGTTTAAAGTCAAGAAGAATAAATGAAGCAAAATGAAGCAGTAGCATATTTTTTTCAGTAGCAACAGAATCATTCACACCTAATAATAATAATAATAATAATAATAATAATAATAATACTTATACTCCACCTATTTGACTGGGTTTCCCCAGCCACTCTGAGTGGCTTCCAGCAGAACATAAAAAGTCATTGGTTCACTGAGAACCACTAAAAGTCAATTTAAATGAACTTTTTCTTCCAGCTGGTGCCTAATGGTTCCCATATCTGTTGCCAGGCAAACTGATACAGGGAAGGAGTTCTGTATCTGAGGTGCCACCGCTTAGCAGGCCCTAGCTTTGGTAGCCATTCATCTCACTTCAGGGATTCAGAGTGGGCAGTCCAGAGTTGGGCACTGTAATTTAGCAACTGGGCAAGTTTATGTGGGATGTTATGATGATCAAACAATAGCAGCCAGACATTGTAGATCAGTATCCATGGCAACTTGATTATTCCCCACTACCAGCTTTCCACATAACTACTTTTGAAATGTGTAATGGCAAGCCAGTTGTGACTGAGACAGCCGTGGCATGTATATAGGAGCTTAATGATTCTGTTAATAAGAATCCTTGTCCACTTGTCACCTTTGATCTACTTAACCTTTTGCCTCTGCAGAGCAGGAAGGTTGCCTTGTCTTGATCTACATACTTTCAATCTTCCCATCAAGTATTGACACTAATGAGCCTAGAAGGAATTCAGACAAAGTAAAGCAAATGAAAGCTTCTTGGTGGCAGAAGAGGAGAGCCTATAAAAAGGAACTAATTTCCCTGCCCCCTTGAGTGGTGTCCTTCTGCTGCAGCCTGCCAGAGCTCAGACTAAAATGCTCAGACTAAATGCCTCCTAGCTTTGAAATGTGTTTTTCATTCAGACTATAAATGCTGTGAGCACCTTAAATAAGTCCAACAGGTTGGTCTTTAAAGGAAACATCTGACAAACAACTTACTACTTCCTTATTTATTTCACAAAGCCCCCACAGGTGAAACACACAGAATTTACTTTTGCATTTAACTATTTGGCTACCATTCGATTTTCAAAAGCATTAAAGCCCCTGAGTAGGTATATCAGAGAATTCCAAAGAAAGAAAAAGAAAGAAAGAGAAAAATCAAAGTAGAAATTGCCAAACTTTGCATATTTGTCCCATTTCTGGAACAGAAATCCATCCAATAAATACAATTGGTAGGGATGGTGCCAAAGTTCATAAGGTGGGCCCCTAAATTTTGGGATAAATAACCACCTCAGATAATTAACATAGTCTTCTTATGGATCTGCAACAACCCAAAAGTAATGGAGAACATAAAGCTCTGCTAACAGACCCTCTAAGTGTCCCTATTTTCCAGGTACAGTCCTGGTTTTATGGAAGCAGTTTTCCTTAGGATATCCCTTTTTTCATCAGAGAAATGTTGAAAGGTATGGTAGGATGTCCCTGTTTTCATTGGAGGTATGAAGTTAGGCAACCCCTGAACCAAAGAGATAAGTAAATACACAACCTTTAGAAGACATCTGAAGGCAGCCCTGTATAAGAAAGTTTTTTTAATGTTTAATTTTTTCTTATATGTTGGAAGCTGCCCAGAGTAGCTTTGTCAAATTATCGTTGTTATTATTATTATTGTTATGGTATAGGATGTGCCTATTTTCATCAGAGAAATGTTGGAGGGTATGTGATAATCAATATCTTTCACCCATTGTGATAGCAGATATTTTACCTGCGTGGGGCAGGGTGAGAGGGAGGATATAAGAGAAGGACTGGAATAACATGGACACATTAACATGTATTTATTTATATAGACAATGGATTTTTTTATTAATTACAGGGTGAATTACAGGGACATGAAATCATGGCACTAACACGGATTCATAGCTAGCAGCAGTTAGGACAGAATGAGTAGAAGTCAAGCTTAGAACATACAGAATGGTTGGGCAAGGTTTTTCAACAGAAAGTTGAACACAGGGATTTTTGTGGCAATAGATGTCTAAATGAGGAACCTAGGGTTGGGACATGGTGTTAGCAGACACAGTTTGTTTAGGCTGTCTGAAACACCAAGTCACAAGGAACTGGGCAAGTGGTTATCACCAAGGAGAAGACAAAGATCTAGGGAATTCATGAAAGAAACCTCTCAAACTGGATGGAAACAATAATAGGCAACGCTAGGAGTAGGGGCAGACGGCAGTAGCAGAGGAAATAACAGAATAAGGAACAAGGCAAGCACAGAGAGAGGTGGAAGACCTGGGATGAAGGTGTTAGATAGAGAATGTAACAAGGGTCCGTAAGTACAAAGCTTGTTTTCCAGTAGATTCTTCCAATCCCACCATTAAGAGTCTTTATGCACTACATGTGGCAGCTTAGAAATATCCTTTGGGTATAAGATTCACAGCCAAGAAGCTCCAAATAACAAGTGCTGCTAAAAGATTTTAGCCCACCAAGGATATGACATTAAAAAAAAAGATGAAAGGACGATCTCTCATTTAGAATTTACACCTACAATCCATGCCTGCACCCCAAGAAAACGTTGTACCAGCGATAGAAGTCCTGAAGGGCAAAAGGGCAAAACTGACCCCTTTTATAAAATGAAAATCATAGTGAAGCTTTTGCATTATTGGATGCACTCTATAAAATAAAAAACTTTTGAGCCAGCCAGAATAAGGAAGACTATTCACTATTCCAAACGGTCTGGTCTGATGGGCTAAAGTATTTTGCTAAGGAGATGACAGGATTATTCCCTTATGTAAAATTTGGTTCATTGACAAATTGAGACAACTAGAATAGAAAAGGGAGAAAAAACAAACAAGATGAAAGAAAAGCTGGTCAGTGAGCCAAGTGACATTTATATATCAGGTTAAACTATTTGAAAAAGGGAAATTTATGTTCCAAGGTTATAAAGACGCTAAAAGTCTCTGTGTAATTATTCCTTAGTGGAGCAGAGAAGTCCAGAAAGAGCATGATATGAGGACTAATGGACCAGCAAAAATGCAAAGTACCATTCAGCACTAAAGTAATTGGGCAGAACACAGAAAGAGACCAGGATAAATGATTACTTCATTAATTTTAAAATTAAGGGCAAGATAAGGCAGTCACTATCATAGAGTTATTAAGGTAAAACCAGCTAATCAGCACAATTTAAATGTAAAGATGCCTTCCAGTCCCTACCAATTTGATCCAAACATGTGCTAAAGTAATTCAATGTAACTTTATTGATCAGTCTGGGTTACTGATAAAATGTATTTATTCAAAGAGTTTTCTAATTTACTCTCACTTTGGGTATACCAGCCATAGGGTTGGTAAGAAGAGTAAAGGTTGATCCCAGCATCTATTAAATACTGCAATCCTGCTGCAAACTTATGATTAACATCTACCAAGGAGCTGTGACAAATTGTGACTTCCCAGTTACAGAGAAGTATGTCATTTCACAAGTCATGATGCTTTTTTCTGTGAAAAATGTGAATAATTCCTGAAATAATTTTTTAAAAACAATTTTCTTAACTCAAAATGGATATTTGCATGAGCAAAGGTAAACAGTGTTCAGTAATCTCAGAGGACACAGTATGATGAAAGCACAGGGCAACTGAGAATGGGGGGGCAGGGAATGAGGGCAATTATATATGCAGGTGAAACCTTTTTGGTCCTGAAAGATGATTGGAAATGGAGTTTTCCTTAAGTTGGAGGCATAAGTCCCAGTTTTATAAAGGTGCTCCTCTCTCCACCCCTTCACATTTCCTGCAACATTTTTTTATTTTTATTTTTTTAAAGGCTAGATCACTGTGGCACCATGAATCACTACAGGGCTTTCTTCTGTTCAAAATTCTTCCAAGCCATCCTACCTCACCTCATTCAGGATTTGTTTGAATCTCTGGCACCACCTTAGCAAAACTAACCCATTGTTTATTTCAGAATTACTTCCTTTTATCTCTCTGTATAGCTTTTTATCTTTAAATATCCTAGATACAGAAAATATAAATACTTATTCCTGTTACCTCTTCTTCTTTTTTTAATAATTCCCAACAGATTCACTCCCTTGTGAGTTCTCCAAGAACATTCCTTTATATTAAAGAAAAAGTTCAACTAGCCTTAAGCTTCCCGAATAAAATTTCATTACAGCCAATTCTTTAATAAGCATTTGAAACACTGTGCAGTCCAGGTTACCTCCACACTTGCCTTTGCAATCCAGAAGAAGCAATGATTTGCTTACTGAAAAACAACTTCATATGCCTTAAGTGTAGCTTAGCATGCCTGACCGCCTCACGGTTAATTTTTCATTTATTGATATTGCATCCTGCCTGTGACATTGAAATGTAGTATCTACTGAGACTAAAAGCATTTGGGGGGGGGCATCCATGTTAGCTGCTTTCAACGCATCTGCCCTGTTTCTTTTTTAGCCAAATAATGATCTATCTGCAAGATGTTAACATATTTGTGTTCTGTATTTGATGGGCGTGATGATCCATAATGGCCACTGTCTTTGCAATATATTAAACAATGATGCATCTCCTCTTTCCAATATTTCACGGAGGGAGAGGAATTCCATATAAAATGTTAAAGGCATAATCCTTTATTAAAATGAAAGTCCCCCCCCCTTTTTTTCTGTTTTGGCCACCAGCCACATGAAACCCTCACAGACTTCTGAGCCCTACACATTTTGAGGAAGTGCTTGTTTTCCATTGGAAGCCCAGCAAATTGATATCTGTACTTCAAGGCCTCCCACCTAGGCTGCAGTGCCAGCTTAGCTGAGCATTCAGTCAGCTGACCCCAGGGACCAATCCCTGCTCACCAATCTGTATAACTCAGAACAGCTGGTTTTCATCATCATCATTATCAACAACTGTTTCACTTACTGTCTAGTTTCGCCCCAGCAGTTTCATGTAGTCAACTAAATATTTTTTTAGTGTCATAACATTACCATATTATATGTTGAGGTGCAGATAGTGAAGGAAGGGTGAGAGTATTTGAAATTTAATAAACACAAACTGTTGTTCTTGTTGTTTAGTCGTGTCCGACAACTACTGCCAGGTTAGCGGAGTTTGTAACCCAAAGTGTTTATAACCTAAAGCGTTTGTAACCCGAGGTACCACTGTATTGAAACATGGAAGTTATCTATACATTTCTCGATTGACAAAATAACAAGACAATAACAACTTCTTTACTCTACAAAACGGCCCCTGTATTTTGTGGTTATTTAAATACTTAATGGTTGTTGTTGTTTAGTCGTTTAGTCGTGTCCGACTCTTCGTGACCCCATGGACCAGAGCACGCCAGGCACTCCTGTCTTCCACTGCCTCACACAGTTTGGTAAAACTCATGCTGGTAGCTTCGAGAACATTATCCAACCATCTCGTCCTCTGTCGTCCCCTTCTCCTTGTGCCCTCCATCTT